CACAGCTTTAAAATGAGATGGGGTGGGGAATTGGGGGGGAGGAACTACTCTTGCACATCCTGCTCATAGTAGGACTCTGTATGGTTTGATTGACTTGAAGAGTCTATAAGACTTATTTCATTGAAAAGAAATGCATAGCAAGCTAAACAGAACAATCATCTGATTATTTGGAATCAACTGCCTTAAACTAAATATGTATTAAAGAAATGGAGAGAGGCAAAACAGAAAATCAAAACCTCAGATTCGAAATTCACCAAAACCTTTGTTTTATCCTCATTTTCAACATTGTTGCATTTCTTCTCCTCAACCAACGCATAAGGCTCTTTAATCAATTTTCCTAATCAATTTTCTCCTTCCAACAATTTCTCATCTCTAATCTCCCCCTACTCTTCCTCATCTTTCACCTCTTCTCCCTCCTTCAAATCCTTTTGATTGTCCATGATATGGCCTCGATCCAAATCCAACTTATCAAAATCCAGCTGACATGACTCAGGTTCCGAACCATTATTACAATTACTGTCATTCTGATCAGAATGATTATCAACATTATTGCAAGGTCCAGGTTCAAGTCCAGAGTTAGGATTAGGGTTAGGGTTTGAGGTAGCAGCTACATCACCAGTAGGAGTGGACGTGGACTGGAGGGAAAGGGCATTCAGGCAGTGGAAGATGAGGGTTTTAGCATCTCTGGCAGAAAATTTGTGCGTTGGCATCAGCCATCGGTGGGTGAAATTGGAGATTTTGTGCAGATTGCCTTTGTGCCGTGATGTCGGTGCCATTTTTCTCTCTGTTCAGGTATTTCCTTTTTTCACAGGGGTTTCGTATTTATAGCTTTTGCATATAATTGAGTTTGTCCAACTGCTTAAGTACCCTCCAATGGGTCTTTTGTCACAGAGGCATTTAACTCAAGTCCTTCGTATTTTTAAGCACTTTTGAGGGCATTATGGTCATTCTAAACTGGATTAGGGATTGGTCTAGGACTATGGTTGATCCCAAAAAATTCAATTAACATTGAGTAGGATCGATATGTTTAGCACTTCAGATTGCATGGAATAAATAAGAAAGATAACAAACAAATATGTCACATCTTTCTCCTAATTAGTCTTCCATCCAAATATAAAACTTCACTAGAAAAACACAAATTTAATATGAAGACGAAGAATAGAAACAGTTTGAGCTACAAATTAACTGTCAAAAAATGCAATTTCTTATGTTACCACAAGGAAAGGAGGAAGTTAACCTAAAGGAAAATGTGATAGGTCTTTTATACATGACAAACCCTGCACGATTAATGACTTAAATCCATCAATGAATCTAGCGGCAACCAAGCTCCTTAGAATACAACTTCTCAACTATTAAAACCCCTACGCTCAACATCAACAGTTTCATACCTTTTCCTTTTAAAAGTTTGATTTCTATTAACAAGTTCTGCACGTTCTCAGTTACAATCATTTCACCATTACAGTTTTTTTAATCATTTCACCGTTACAGTTTTTCCATTTTAAAAAATGTACATGTTAATGCATAAATAGCACAACGGCTGCTAGCGAACACAAAAGTAGTAGCCATTTATTCACACTAAAATATGATACACAATAAACATAACTCATCATATTCTCATCCACAAGGTCAACTGCGATCCCTGTAGGCACTCTAAACACGAGTAAATTTTTATATACCATAATGGAATGTGTCATTTCCAAACACGCATCTTACTCGAATCATTCCATAAGGACCATAACTACACCATTAATAACGCTAAACAGAACAATCATTCGATTACTTGGAATCTAAAGCCTTAAATTAAAAACACTTTATAAGAAAGAAAATTTTCAACAAAAGAAACATATAAAACCAATACCTCAGATTCAGGATTCACCAGAACCATTGCTTTGTCCACATTTTCGACATTGTCACCATTCTTCTCCTCAGCCAATGCTTCAGAATCCTTAATCAAGTTTTCCAACACTTTTTCATCTCTAACCTCCTTCAAATCCTTCCGCTTCTCCATAATCTGTCCCTCATCCAATTCAAGGCGATCTAACTTAACTTCAAAACCAGAATCGCGCTTATTATCATCCTTAGCATCATCGGAAGGTCCAATTCCAGGGTTAGGGTTTGAGGTGGTGGCGATATCGGCAGCTGGAGTGGAGGCAGACTGGAGGAGGGAGAGTGCGTTGAGACGGCGACGATGGAGGATTTTAAAGTCTCGGAGAGAGAGTTTTCGGGCCGGCATCGGCCATCGGTGCGGTACATCGGAGATTTTGTGGAGATTGCCTTTGTACAGTGATATTGCTACCATTTTTCTGTATTTCTGTATTTCTTTATTTTTTTTTTCATGGGCCTTTTTTTGCTGCTATTTATAGCTTTTGGATAAATATTTTAGTTCATTTGATGTAATTACTCGTGTTTAGAATGTGTGCAATGACTTAAGTACCCTCCAATGGATCTTCTGTTACAGACAGTTTTAACGAAGTCCTTTGTATTTTCAGGTACTTTTGAGGGCAAATTCGTTAGAACAAAATTATTTTTGAAGTTTTGACTCTCTAACTATAATTTATATATACATTATTACACAAGTAAGACTCGTGACGTCTCGGACATAGAGTCTATTTGTTTTGGATTAAAATCTGATTTTAATCTAAATTAAAGTCAAACAATCATTATTAATCATATCTTTCATGGATTCCACAACTTTTTTACCACACATTTCAAAAACTTCTATCACAATCGACTAAAAAAACTAACTTTAATCTCCCATCAAACACCCTCATAATAATATACATATATCATTTTTTTTCCAACTTTTTTATCCTTTTAGCGAATTAGGGTCATGTGAAAGATGAGGACATGTCCCGTTGTTCTCTTGTAATCTTGAGTCCAACTACAAATTAAGTATCTTGCTTAATTTATAGCTATAAAGTAATACTATTTACATTCGTTCATTGTCATTGTCATCCTATGTGACCTGTATATGATGGTTAGTGATTTAAAGCATTAATATGATAGTTTTTTTTTATTACCTTATATATCAAATCATTAATTGCCACATGTATGTCACGTAAGACAACTTTGATAGTGATCGACGACAAATAGCATTATTCATAATTATATATTGAAATATTTATGTTGGATTAATTGTATTCCAACTTTTCATTCATCCACGATTTGAGAGAATCTAAATATAGGCCCTGTTTGAGCCCTATTATTTTTTCATTAAAATGAAAAATATGACTGTTATCCATCACATCAAGTTACCATATTTAACTTTCTATTTTTTGTGTTAGGTTTATAACGACTATATTTTTTATTCTCATTTAAACAATAATGTGGCTCATACGGGGCTTAATAAAATTATTGCTCTTTGGAGAGAGAGAGAGTAGTGAACAATTATAAGATTTGAGCGTTGGAACAAAAAATAGAAAGAAAATTTCGGAATCATAATATATAGTTGTATACTATACATATTATTTGGGGATCAAGTGATCCATTATCTACTTGTGTGTAATTAACTACCTAGATAGACTCAAGCAATTCGAAACTAAACAAAAACATATCATTAATGCCCTTTTAAGTATGCAACCCAAAGAACAAATATCAAGGAAATAATAGAAGTGCGAGAATTCAATAGCATACATTTTATCAAATATGTCGATAATATTTGTGCATGTCTATCAATTTAAACATGAATATATAAATAACGGTACTAGAAACCTTACATCCATTAAGCCGAAAAGAATAACACTAACGTAAGGTAGAAAGACTTTAATGAATGAGTCGAATTGAACATTACAATAGATAAGATTTGAACCTTTTTCCCTATAATATTATCCTATACTATAGGATCGAGCTATTAGTATTTAGTAATAAGACGGTTCCTCGTATAGGGTTGGAAACTGCAAGAACATTTCGTCTTGGCGTGCTATCATGGCTTCCACAAATGAACCATTTGAAGATGACAAGTTTTCCAGGGCATACAATGAAGTTTCATTGTTCTTATCTTCAGCTGCTTCATAATCTTGTTTTTCTTCTGTATTTGCATGATTTTGCGCAAGTATCACCGCGTTTTCTTGATCAGGGACGAGCACATCTTGAAGAAGAAAATCACTCCAGTTGAAGCTCGAAGTAGATGCTTGATTCATAGTCGAAGAAGGCGAAGTCGAGGAAGAAGCACATTCAGTCATAAAAGACTGCGGCGGGATGGTATAGTTTGTTGAATCTGTAACCAAATTTATAGCCTGAAATTGGGAGTAAAGATGAAGGGAATTGTCTTTGAATGGTTCAACATTTGGACATGTTTGTTGGTTATGCTTTTGAGGTTGTTCCGATTTTAACATCATCGAAGAGGTAAACTGCATTCTTGCTTTCGGGAAGGCGCCTATATTTCCATAGTCTGCGAGAATTTGGGAGAAGGGCTTATGAGTAACCGGGTCGATTCCCATTGCAGAGAGTTTTTTTCGCAGTTTTGTGTTCCATAAGGTTTTCACATCATTGTCCGTTCTCCCGGGAAGTTGCTGTGCTATAATAGGCCACCTGCAGTGTTGAAAAACACGATACAAGTGGATAATACGGTGTTTGTTAAGTTGGTGAGCTTTTAAAATGAGTTGTGTGACGTGAAAGAAGAGCTCGATATGGTCTAGGCGTACTTAGCAAACCACTAAATGAAATAGTTAGGAAAACTAATGAAACTAGAGACAGAGGATGAGTGACCTAAAATCATGTCGAATGGGATAGTTATTAGATAAGAATTGAGACTTCATAATCGATAAAGTCGACCCGACTTCAAACCATCAAGAAGAGAAAATCCAAGATTTTTTTTCTTAGAGAATGAATCAAAGTTACTACAACCTACTAACCATTGAAAATCAAGGATACCTTGAAATCAACTAGATTTTGGGTCGACCGTACGATTTTTTTCCTTTTTCGTCACTCTTGCTCAGTTTATTGTTAGATCTACTTGAATTATTAAAACATAGGGAAACTAGATTATTTTTAAAGATGAAAATTAGACCTGCTTAATGAATTGCTTTTTACCACCCACTTTACTTCATTGTAGATCTACTAAAAAGTCCATGGCAGATAAATTTTTTCCCCCCTAAAAGAGGGGAATTATACCTGCTTCCTATTGCCGCATGAAGCTTGATGATCAACTCCTCTTCTTGAGGGGAAAAACTCTCATTCCTCGTATCAGTCTTTTGATTTTTAGCCCACTTTTGCCTACAACTTTTTCCACATTTCCTCAGTCCTATATAAAACACTTATAATTAAAGAGAATCCCACTTAATTTCAGTTTATTTTTACATATGAATTAAGAATTATAATCACTTACCTGCTTTTTTTGATGAAGATGCACAATTACCTGAAAAAAGTTTCCCATTCTCCTCTTGATTCCAATGTTCCTTCTGCTTATCCAAACAAGTAGTTTTTACCATCTTAAATTATTTTTCGAGTCGATTTACGAAGAAATATAAGAATGAAGATGGTAGAATGAGCTTAACTGCTTCATTGGAGTGAGGCAAGAAAAGCATGGGGACTTGCTACATTGAACTGCATTTGCATGATCAAATGCATCTTCCATTCATTTTCACATAGAAAGAATTAATAATACATTTTGTATTCATGGTTTAAAGAGCATTATGATCAGGTTCAAATTCGGTGAGTAATTTGGTTAAAAATAAGTTGAATTTAAGCAATTTTAAAAAGATAATTAATTTTTTTAATGACTTAAGTTTGATTTCATAATGATTCACAAGTATGATAAGAGTAACTAATTTAAACAAAGATATAACTAATCAAAAGGGAAAAATTTGTGAAAAGACCACCATTTTGGCATGATTTTGTATGCAAATGGTTGACTTCAAGGTTTTCAAATCAAGAATATGTAAGAGAAAGGAAAAATCTAAAAGAATATTTTATTTAGAGAAATTGCATGGTTGGTCCTAACCTATTCTTCTAAGAGAAATTGATTCCATACATCTTTAAAAATGAACAAGTTGATCTTCAATTTTCTATTATAGTTGCAAACAGTACCAGTTGATATAAAAGTTTAATCTTTGCTAAATTGTTAGTTGCGGCCAATTTATGTTAGAATACAAAACTTAGCTTCGTAAAATAGCATATGCAAGTCAAGAGGTGATCTTTTGAGAATCAATTCTCTAGGGAACTTGATACTTGAGTCATAGATTGAGGACCAACAATATAATTTATCCATTTACTTTTACAAAATACCATAGAAGCTATAATCGAATTTAAAAATTTGTTGTGAACAAAATAATTTTTTCACTTGTATTTTCTTCTCAGGATACCAAATACGTTAAATAATTGTTAAGAGCATTTTTTTTTTCACTTTTAAAGTAATTTTTTCTTATCTATGACTTCAACTTCTAATTAAACTCTAGTTGTCTTGCTCATGACAAGGTTTCACGGGGTGCCTTTCTTCTTGGCACAGAAAGGGACACCGTGCGGCAGTAGTCTGCTCCGCTAGACTACCTTCCGCCTTTTCTCGGTCGCGTCGGGACGAAAGAAAATTTGATTGCAATTTTGTAGAAAGCTTACAATTGAGAATTTGAATACATTGAAAGTAAATTGAACATTGATTGCTGAAAACTGAACATTACAATTGATGAAAGCAGAAAATTACAAATGCTGGTGCAGGGGGCGGACACCAGTGAGCTTGAAAGATTTTTGAATGACTAATACCCCCTATAATAGCATTCTGAACAAAAACCCAAGTGACGGGAGTAGACGTTTAAAAGACGAGGAATCATACTAATCTTTTACCAATATCAGAGCTATTTTACAATTAAAATAACTATTACAATGAAACGAAAATTACAACTCAAACTTGAAGTAATATTTACAATGTGCGGCCGAAGTTGGGCAAACTGCGGCTGCGATAGTGTCAAGGGGCTAAGTAAAGCTGCGGTCCTTGACACAAAGTGTTGTCAACAATGACACCTGTACTGTGGTCAGCTCAATATATTTGGGCTATGATTAGTTCTAAACTGGACAGTTGAGCCCACAAGCAATGGGTTATTTGTCTGAATCACATTTTTTAAAAACTTAGAGTGTATTTGGTTTGTTATATTTAAATTGCTTTAATTTTCAATTTTGTAAAATATTGAAAATTTGTTTGATCTGGTGATTCTAAAAATGCAATTTTGAACGTAAAAATGAACTTATAACATAAAATTAAAAATATATTTTTGACATTTTGAGTGTTTTCAATGAAAAATCTGAAACTTTCAAGTGTGGAAAAGAAACATTCAAACAAAATTTTATTTAAATAAGAATTTAAATTTTATATATAAATAGAATTTTTTTAAAAAAATTCTCTCTCTCTCTCCTATCCCTCGTTTTGGGCTCTATTTATAAGTCCCAACTAAAGCATTACAGAGAGATCCCTATAAATTAGGAAGACCAATTCTTCAGCCTTTTCTTTCTCAACTGCAGCTAGGAAATGACACATGATAGCAGATCGAGTACTCTTTTGGTTCTGTTGAAGGTTTTTACCTCCACTGGTGACACGTGATCCAATTCTAGAAGTATAAGGAACGACACAAACTCGTCTTCAACAAGACCGTCACATGAAATGGATGACTTATTTGCAACAATTTCATCTAGTAATCAAGTACAAAAAAGGTACCCAAAACAAGCTGGCAGATATGCTTTCACGCCCTCCAGTTGCAGCTCTATCTTTAACAGTGGTTATGCACATGCCGCCCGACCTGAAGGAGACATATATGGGCTGGTATGAAGAGGATCCTGATTTTCAAAAAATAATGGGTGAATTGCAGCTGGGAAATGCAACAGGATATGAACGACGAGACAGGTTACTTTACAAAGGAGGACTGTTTGTGTGCCACGAGTAGATCAGCGTGTAGGATATCTTCGGGAAGCCCACACTTCAAAAATAGCTGGACATTTCGGCGTAACTAAAACATTGCAAAAATCTGTGTCGATATGTGTTTAGGCCAAAAATGCAACAAGACGTAGCTCGTTTCATCAAAGGATGTGTGCTTTGTAGCACCTCGAAACCAGCTAATCGCAAACTTGGACTGTATACGCCATTGCCCGTTCCGTCACGACCATGGGAGAACATCTCGATGGATTTCCTGGGAGGTTTACCATTGACATGCAAAGGCCATGATTATTTGTTCGTGGTGGTGGACAGATTCTCTAAGATGGTAGTGTTAATGCCGTGCAAGAAAACCATCACAGGGATAGAAGCCTCTCGAATATTTTTTGAGAATGTATGGAAATTCTTTGGACTTCCTAAGTCGATCATTTCTGATAGCGATAGTCGATTTCTAAGCAAATCCTAGTGCACACTATGGGAGATGATGGATACGAAGCTAAAAAAAAGTACAGCATTTTACCCTCAAACTAATGGGCAAACAGAGGTAATGAATTGAACTATAGTTCATCTCCTACGAGGCTACAATTCTAGGCACCCAAAGACTTGGGATGAGAGCATTCCGTTTCTTCAATTCGCCATCAACCACACTACGCATAGCTCTACAAATAAATCCCCTTCAGAGGTGTGCTTCGGATTCCTATCGCAAAGTCCATTCGATTTGGAAGTCTGTGTTGAATCTAAGACACATTCAGGAAAAAGTGAAGATGAGAAGGCGAGGGCTCACAGATTTGTGGAGCAAATCAGGAAAATCCATGAAGAAGTTGAACAGCAACTACAAAAATCACAGCAAAAGTATAAGGAACGATATGATCACCACAGGATCAAGGGCAACTTTCAGGAAGGTGATCTGGTTTGGTTACATTTGAGAAAGGAAAGGATGGAGGCTGAAGGAAAAAAACTCAAACCAATTCGTTATGGTCCCTTCAAAATCCTCCACAAGATAGGAGAAAATGCTTGTCAACTGGATCTTCCCGCCTATATGGATCTCTACTCTGTGGTTAATATAGACAAGCTGAAGTTATTTGAGCCTTCTATGCTGGATGATGAACCTTACGAGGTGCTACCGAAAGTCGAGGATGATGCAACCGATTCTGAAAGTAAGCTGGTAGAGGACATTATTGTGGAGCGAAAAAACACCAGTACTAGGCCAGGCAACTTAGAAGCATTTTGAATTGGACGCAAAGGACAGCGACCAAGCTTGGCCAAATGGTTCTCACGCAAGGATGGCCAATCCCAGTTCCCACATCTTCAATCCTGGAACCAGCAAGGCCTGGTTGTCCTAACAGGGGGAGCCGTGATTTGGGACAATGTCCTTGGACTTCCACGCGTCACTAGTGGAGGTAAAAACCTTCAACAGAACCATAGAAAAATAAGAGTACACGATCTGCTATCATGTGCCATTTCCTAGCTGCAGTTGAGAAAGAAAAGGCTGAAGAATTGGTCTTCCAGTTTATAGGGATCTCTCTGTAATGCTTTAGTTGGGGCTTATAAATAGAGCCCAAAACGAGGGATGGGAGAGAGAGAGAGAGGAGATAGAGATTTTTGTAATGAACAATACTTTGTTACAGAAATAAAAAGAGTTCATTTGCCCTCTAAACTTCTGTTTTCTAAAATATTATTCTTGATTTCCTGTGTCAATTGTTTTCCTCTTTCTTTTTCTTGTGGGCTTGTTCTTGGGAATTTTTGGTCGTAAGATAAAATTGGATCAAGTTTGGTATCAAAGCAAATTATGGTGCACACTATGGGAGATGATGGATACGAAGCTAAAAAGAAGTACAGCATTTCACCCTCAAACTGATAGGCAAACAGAGGTAATGAATCGAAATATAGTTCATCTCCTACGAGGCTACAATTCCAGGCACCCAAAGACTTGGGATGAGAGCATTCCGTTTCTTCAATTCGCCATCAACCACACTACGCATAGCTCTACAAATAAATCTCCATCAGAGGTGTGCTTCGGATTCCTACCGCAAAGTCCATTCGATTTGGAATTCTGTGATGAATGTAAGATACATTCAGGAAAAGGTGAAGATGAGAAGGTGTGATCTGGGATGATCTCCTTGGACTTCCACGTGTCACCAGTGGAGGTAAAAACCTTCAACAGAACCAGAGAAAAAGAAGAGTACACGATCTGCTATCATGTGCCATTTCCTAGCTGCAATTGAGAAAGAAAAGGCTGAAGAATTGGTCTTCCTAGTTTATAAGGATCTCTCTGTAATGCTTTAGTTGGGGCATATAAATAGAGCCCAAAACGAGGGATGGGAGAGAGAGAGAGAGAGAGAAGATAGCGATTTTTGTAATGAACAAGACTTTGTTACAGAAATAAAAAGAGTTCATTTGCCCTCTAAACTTCTGTTTTCTAAAATATTATTTTTGATTTCCTGTGTCAATTGTTTTCCTTTTTCTTTTTTCTTGTGGACTTGTTCTTGGGAATTTCTGGTCGCAAGATAAAATTGGATCAAGTTTGGTCACTGTCCTTTACGTCCGATCCGAAATGCTTCTAAGTTGCCTCGCCTAGTACTAGTGTTTTTTCGCTCCACAATAGTGTCCTCTACCAGCTTACTTTCAGAATCGGTTGCAACATCCTCGACTTTCGGTAGCACATTGTAAGGTTCATCATCTAGCATAGAAGGCTCAAAT